TAGAAGTACGAAACGAAACGAGTGTGAGCATGAGCGGCGGTCAGCAATCAAGGCAATAAGGGTATAACTATATGTGCAAAGCAAAAAACAAATGACACAAAAAACAAATGTTACGATCGCGACCGGATTCGCTCATGTCCTACTAAATGAGAGGGGGATTCGAAGTCGCTAAGCGGTCGCCGGGCACCAAACGAGCTAGCCATTTGTCGCTGCCAATCGTCCAGTTCATTCGACAGGTGCTCGAAATTCTCTGAGCTCGTCATGCTGGATGGTCGTTTGAGAGGTTGATCGACTTCCAGGAGAAGGTGAATTTTGTGCGAAAGTTGTTCGTTTTCCCTTTTCAGGTTGGTGTTTTCGACGGTGAGCTGTTCCAATAAACTGGCGCCACTTCCTTCGCGATATACAGCAAGAGTAGCGTTCATTCTTTCAATCTCCAACTCAAGCTCCTCCACACGAGTTTGGCGTTCGTCAAACTCTCGTTGAGAGATGACGAAGTTATCCTTCATGATGTCGAGATCCTTCTCCAGCGTCTCCATTCTTTGACGGAGATCTTTGTTGTCATTGATTAAACGCTGGCTTTGTTTCTGTGCATCAATCAACTGGCCGCGAAGGTGCTCGTGATTGTCGTCTGAAGGAGTGCTGCGACCGTTGACACCACGTCGCGGTTCAGTACTGGATCGTCCTCGAACAGTGTCCAGTTCCGCTTGCAGACTAGCATAGGCCGTCTTCGTCTTCGTAACCTCATCTTTCATCCTTCGCATCATTTTTTCAGTTCCTCTGCGATGGACAATTAGACCCAGTACATGCATAGGTACTTGGGGAAAAGCTCACTTTACATAATGCACAGCAAGCTGGTAGTCTTCTTCCATCTGGCGCATTCGCGCCTTATAGCTCCGTTCCGTCTCCTCGAGTTTCCGTTCAGCTTCAAGAGCGCGTGCGTCAGCATCTGAGTCACCTTGATTGTCAGGGCTCTGCATGGACTTCGATCGATCTTGTTGTTGTGACATCGCACTTAACTGCGCCTCGAGTTCGCGCTTCCTCCGAAGGGCTCCGTTGAGTTCCCGCTCTGAGCGTTCGTACATCAAGGAGCGTTCTTCTAGCTGTTTCTCCAGGTCTGCCAATCGTGAAGCACTTGCCGAATTTGATGAAGGTTCATCCGAATCTGGGATGATGCCATTTTCTGAAAGATAGTTCCGAAGCATTACCAGGCGGATATTGGTATCGGCCGTCTCTTTCAATGCTCCCCGCAGATCATTATCCTTTTCTGCAAGATCTTTGCGCAGACGACCTTGCTCCAGGACAGAGTTGGACAATTGCGCTCGGAGGCCCACAATTTGCGATCGTAGGAATGTTTGCTCGGATTCCGTCTGTCGTACCCTGCGCCGTTCCTCTGAGAGGTCCCTTTGCACTTCCTCCAGCTGCTGCGTGACCTCTTTCAACATCTTCCGTAGAGAAGTAGCTTCCACCTCCATAGCCTCCACTTTCTCCACGTGTCCTCTCGTTAACCGGTCTTCGTCTACCCTAAGTTCACGATGCGAGTCGAGAAGTTCGCCGAGACTGCCAGTGGTGAGTGCACGGAACGCATCAGCTTCTTCACGAGACTTGGCCCACGCGTTCTCAACTTCTGCAAGCCTTATCCTCGCTTGTTCCACTTCGAATGTGCGAGTCTCCAGGTCACCGCGTAATTCTGCAATGTCGGCCTCAAGCTGAGTTATCTGATCACGAGCACGTTGATCCTCTTCTGAGCGTGAGGCTACGGCTTGTAGTGCCGTACGGGCTTGATCGAGAGCGCGGATATGCTGATCCCGGAGTTGACTTAACTCTTCAACCTGTCTCTTGACCTGGGAAGCCTCGGCGTCTTTTTGCTCAAGCAGAGACGTCTGTCCAAGAAGTCGATCGGCGTGATCTCGAAGAGCGGCCTCGGCTTCTACGTAACGGTCTCGGATTTCAGAGTGTTCACGAACAACACGATGGTGTGTCTCCTCCAGGGCATCAGCACGGTTGTTGGCGTCAGAGGACCGTGCCTCCGCCTGCTCAAGAAGCGTAGTCTGCAAGGCAAGCGAGTCACTCAGTTCGTCTGCTGTCTTCTTCTGCGCAGTGTGTTCCGTCAATAGAGTGGCAAGATGGCGTTCGAGCTCAGCAATACGCTCTCGCTCTATTTGCGAGACCTCGCCAGGTGTAGATGCTTCGTGGGCAGTGAGCTTCGCGCGGTAGTATGCAGCTTCCTGGATTGCAGCGGACTTCATGCGCTCAGCATCCGCAATGCGCTCAGAGGCCTGGCGGGCTTGATTGACCAGGGTAGTCTGCGTCTTCGTTGGAACGTCTCATTTGTTCTTGAAAGGATAAAACACACCTGCATCTGGGTTTTGAAGTGCCTGAAATTCATGACCATGTCAGCAAGTTTCCTTTGCTCCTCACTGGCATCATCTTGGAAGTCTATATCCTCAGCTTCCAATGTTTCTTCGTCAAGTTGAACAAAACCTGACCGGGATGCCTTCAAAAGCGCTGTCTTCATCCAGGCCTCTCGCCTCCGCAACGTCTCAACCTCCATCTCTTTAACCTTATAATCCCGAATCAGGTCAGCCGTCACATTGCCCGTTGAACCGAACTTCCCCTGGGCGTGGCCATTTCCGTTCCCGTTCACGCCGGGAGAACCACCTGATGGTTGATAGAAAGCATCAAGTGGAGGCCTACTACGATCCACAACTGGTGATGGACTTCGGGCAGCCAGACCGCTCATCGCCACGCTCGCCACGTTGGGTGGCTGTACGTTGCCATAGAGATCGGATCCACTCTGAGATGTTGGGGACATCGCACGGGTGACACTGAAAGAATTGGGACTCCGTGCTCGGGTCTGATCTGGAGATGGTGCGTGATCTCGAGAAGTAGTGACGGACTCGGTGGTAGCACCGGTGTCTGTCCCGTTCCCGTCATCCGTTCCCAACACATCCCCGTCATCTCTTCGAGGGCGTGTCGGTGCTTTACCTTTGGTAATGGGAGATGAGTGTACAGGGGCACCATTCGGTGTACGAGTTCCAGGCCGGATTCCTGGTGGAGATATAGCCCGGCGGAGGTCGTCTACGTCTTGTGGAGCGCCTGTCGGTGACATGGCACGGGTACCATTAGGCACATTGTTTCCTGGCGCAGGTGGTCCTGGCGGAGGGGTAGGTGTTGCAGATGATTTTCGATCAGACTTGTTGCCTGGTGGTCCTTTGCTTGAATCAGGGTATTTGATGTGCTCTGAGCAATCCGTCAGCAGTGACATTTGTGCAGTCGAGGGGTCACGTACTAGTGTCAAGAACGTTAATAATTCCATGGTCATCACCCTTGGTTGGCGTGAAAGACTCCCCGCCAAGAACAAAAACTCTGGTTCCCATGGACGCCATAGCATGACCCGAACGGCCACTAGGCGCTGGTCCCATATTTTGGAACATGTACCACCGCTGGTCTGTACATGATAAGCTTAGAACGCGGACACCTATCATTCATCAAATCACGTACTTGACATCTTGAATGCTGCCAAGTCGCCAAGGTCCTTGCCGTCTACACCCCGGCCACCGAATATATAAATGACATCGTCAACTACAGCGGCTGCATGACCTTCTCGAGGTGAGGGAATAAACCCAATGCATTGCAGTTCCGACCAGGTCCTGGTATTAGTATCATAAGACCATGTATCATTGTAATGGTATTGGCCATCTGTTCCTCCGAACCTGTGAAACGTGAGTACGAGCCAGTATTGAATGAATGACGGACATACACGATGATGCGATCCTGGTATGTTACACAGGCATGTCCTGTGCGTTGAGCAGGACGGGCGGCTCCGACGGGTTGACACAGCTCCCAAGCTGTTGTTGTCCGTACTCAGAGCATAACATAACATAAGGTTTAGGAAAATAAGCTTAAATTGGATGGGACTTACGGGTATTGAGATCAAATGACCAGAGGTCATTCAGGAACTCGCCATCTACCTGACCTCCGAAAACGAAAAATTTGGTGCCAACCATAGTAACGGCATGACCATACCGTCCAGCAGGTGCAGGTCCGTGCATAGCTACCCGGGTCCACTCTCGTGAAACTAGGGTGTACGTGAAGTATAGTTTCTCTGAAAAACTAGTGTGAACGCACCGAGATTCAGAAGATACAAGCCATCATCTTGTTTTTCTGACTGATCGGACGAGGGGTCTGTTTTTGTGTCGCCTCCCCATATAATGAGAACGCTGCTAACGATTGCACTAGCATGACCAACTCGCGGCGAGGGTACTTCTCCGGCTGTCTGCACGAGAGTCGCAGAAAGATCGCGAGTAGAGAAAAGATATAAATCATTGCGGGCGGTTTCGCGAACGAGACCACCAAAAAGGTACAGCTCTCCCGAAGCAGTGGCTGTCGCCGGAAGTGCATGACCATAGCGAGGGAATGGTGAAGGTGAAGGTGAATTTGGTGCGGGCACGCCAGGTTTCGGGATTACAAGTGGGGGCGGGAGGAGTAAGCGCCGTGCAGACCAGGGATAAGCTGGCCGTTGTTGAGGTTGCTGGGATGCTTGAGGTGGTTGCTGCTGTGACTGGGACGGCTGTTGCGGTATGATGGGGCTGGTTCCACGAGCTTGTTGACGTTGAGCGGGGGCTGCTACAAGGCCATTTGCGGTATTTGAACTGGAGCTGGGATGAAGAAAATGATGAACGGCTGTGGGAGAAGAAAAGTTGAATATGAAGGACTCACGAATCATTGTCACGTAGGTGTTGAAGCTGAACGGCATTGTCCTTTGCAGCCAGCTGCGCGAGAGCTTGGCTTGGAGTCTGAGCTACTGTTACGGATGAAGCAGCGAGCTGACTTGCACTAGGCTGCTTCTTCCTTGAGAAGAATGACATTCTTCGTGCTCTGTTTACTAGGATGGACGGTATGGTTGGCTAATAAATTTTGTTTGAAGAATTAAGAGTGAGTATGTGAAAAGGACGAAATGCTATGACAATTTGTTGTCGTTGTAGAGAACAGGCTTGTCTGATGGTATAAGCACAGTACTCAGTTTCTGTATTAGGTTTACAACTATTTGCTTTTCATCCAAGTACTCAGCTAGTCTCTTAACCAACAGCTAATAAAATCTGAACATCATGAACATCATTCAACAATCTCCGGTCTCCCTCGCAACGAACGCTGTCTAGTTATGCGGCGGCTCTCAAAGTAACCTCTCCTTTGGTAATCAAACAGGAAACCCGTCTCACTTTTTCCCCACACTCAGCCGTCTTCGGCAGATAGGTCAATCCAATTCTCACTGCATAGTCCATTGCAAGACTTAACGCCCAGCTAACGTATCTCCATTCATACAAAAAGGTCAGCTTCTTACTTTATTCATCCTACGCTTTCAGGAAGTTAGCATGGACTAACAACTCTTCGGCATCAGTGTTGACACATTCTAGAAACCAGATAGAAACTCACAATGAATATGGTCTGATGCAAATGTCGATATCTGTACATCATGATTCCGTTGTCAGTACATCACCCCATCATCCAAAAGTAGAGACCCACGAAGTAGTAGCTATGATCATACCCTTCCTGTTTCCTTACTCGTACCTGTACCTCATCATGCCCAGCCACACGCGCAGCCTCGAGGAACTTGTCCGGATGCAGTTGGTACAGGAAATTATCCGCGGTACCCTGTTACTACATCAGCCCCATCTAATAAGGGCCAATGAATAGACAAAAACATGACGCACATAATCCACAAGTATATTCACCGCTCCCTTCACCTTCCCGATCATCGCTGTTGCATCATATCGGTCTTTCCCCTCCGCAACACCGCCCGCAAGGTACCCCGAGAATGCCTTCGTGCCCCATGGCACCTCGGATGGCTCGCAGATGGGTGAGAACGCAGATGCACTACGATATTGCTTCATCCCCGATAACAGTGACGCAAGGTACACAGTCAGCGCCCCGTGTCCGCCCATCGAGTGTCCGAAAATTGACTGGCGTGTGAAGTCCTGTGAATATTGTTGTCAGGGAAGGAGGAAAGATAAGACGCGTTGAGACAGACGAGAGGCAAGCCTGCTTTTTCAAGCACCTGAGGGAGCTCTTGAGTGACATGGCTGAACATATTATAATGCTTGGACCACTTGGGATTCGTTGCGTTCAGGTAAAACCCAGCGCCTATCCACCGCGTCCGCTGTTAAATAAGGATGAGCACCAGGATAGAGATTACCCACCACTGCCAAAATCCCAATCTACATCTTCACCATCGATACCTGCACCACGCGGGGAGGTGTCAGGGAAGAGCAGTGCGATACCCTGAGCTGCTGCATCGCGCATGAAACCGCCTTTTTGGGCCCTGTGCAGTGTGGGCCGTGTTTCATCATGTGAGTTTGTGGAGTCAACGGAAGGGCGTTTAACACGCACCCATTATCCTCCGTGCAGGTGAGTCCTGCAAGATAGACAAGTACAGGGACCTTCCCCTGAGCCGCATTGGCGGGGAGGAAGAGATTGAATTGAGTATAAGTATCGCCCAGAGCAGCAGACTATTAGCCTCATTATCAGCGTGGCATTGCCGCCGCTGCCAAAACGACGTACTCTAAACTTGTACTTTGCGAGCGTCCCCTCGTAATGCTTGTTCGATGAAAGTTTTTCGAGTGACATGTCGGCGGGCTATACGTCAATGTTGAGGTTCACGATAGGAAGATCAAAACTATCAAATGTGCGAGTTGGCGAAACAGACAAGAATAATACGCGCTTGTCAGTGGGTGAGATGGCTTGGACACTCGTCTCATGATCATGATTCCCCGCTTATCCGGTCCACCCCCCGGTCATGGTATTAATTTGGCCTACTCCAACTCATATTGGATGAAATGTGTTTTTTTTCCGTGAGAGATACTAATCAATGCTGAATCTCAGTAGTAAGCAATTAGAATACGATACGACTAGCAGATACTTAATCTTGTAATTACGGGTATGACACAATGCGTGAAGAGTGGTCTAGTCTCGTTCTTCCACATGTGCAGGCGGGGTTGACAATTTTGTAGGTGGTGTAGGTGGTGTCTCATCATGAGGAGGTGTAGGAGGTAGAGATCTCTGCTTCGTTGATGGAGGTGCTTCTGGGGATGTCGCAGATCTCGATCCTTCCACTGGTTGGGAAGTACGCTGGGGTAGTGACATTGATTCTTCTTGCGCTTTTGATACCATCTCTCCAAGTGCAGGGTGCATCCTCAGCAACGAGCTTGGCGTCGATCTGGGAGACGGACTACTACCCAAGAGGTTCTGCTGCATTCTCTCCCGGTGACCTTCAACCATGCCGTTCTCTAGCGTAGCATCATCGTCCTCGCTCTCCTCTACTCCGGCCAGCAGGTCTGCGATACCAAGGTAGAATGAAGCAGGCTTGAAAAGAATTTCCTTTCCCCACATCGAGGCCCACGTATATCGCGCAGCATTCGTCCATCCAACAAGGTCGAGGTGGTTCACGGGTGAAAGGGTACCGAGATATGTGCCCTGCATGCGTATTCAGCAAGGCACACACACCAAAGAGTCATCCTGCGCACTCACCCACTTGGCTGATTCGACACTAACTAGCCCATCATTCGGACCCTCCTTCTCTAAGATAACACTATGTGGCCATTTCCATGTATCAATAAGCCCTGGTTCATAGCATGCTCCCCAACTAAAGTAGCGCACACCGTCAGCATCAGGTGTCTCTTCGTTGAACCGACGCATGCTTTCTACAGTAAGACATTCAAATGCCTTCCCATCGCCGCCGCCGTTTGGTAGTAGCTCGAGAAGCGCGAGAACGGATGGGAGATGCTGCGAGGCGAGCGACATGAAGTGGTCCGCGAAGGAAGAGCCACGATGTGGAGTAGCAATTGTAGTGATGCTTATCACAGAGAACTTGCGCTGGGTGAGGTGTGTTGTGAGGTAACGACAATCGAGGCCACCCTGCAATGTGTCAGTAAGGGTGATTGTCTACCTCAGTGCTCAGCTTACCATGCTGTGTCCTATTAGATGGATAGCACGGCCAGGATAAACTTCTGAGATCTTTTTCTCGAGAACTTTTGCGCGCTCTACAGGAGAACTTGTTGCAGGTACTCGCGTGATAAGAACTTCACAGCCATTTGCCTCCAATGCTTCCTTGATACCACGCCAATGTGCAACCTGTAAGGGTGCAAGGGAAGGTCCAACGGTTACGGTATCAAAACCAAGAAGTCCATGGCAGAATACAACAGGGGCTTTCGGTGAACGATCTACACACAAGCGGTTAGCCAAGCTTGAGGAATAAACTATAAACATACACTTCTGATGGATTTTATTCAACGATGAAGCCTGATCTTCCTCATTGAGGAGCTTGCCCACGTTGTCCTTAATCCCCGAGTCTGAATCACTTTGAAACCACCATTTACTTGGAATAGGAGGGGGCACAATCTGTGGTGCGGTAGATGCATGGATCGAACGCAGTGTATCGATGGACGAATGGGTGGGTAGGGAGTGGTTCAGCGATATACGTGGCTCGTCGCTGTGAGCTGCAGAATCTGCAGAGGATAAAGGGAGTCCATTTTGAATGTGTGGAGGAATGGAAGTCACAGATACTGACGGGAGAGTTGATAGCAGATTACTGAGTAATGGAGGTGGACGACTGAGCAGGCGAGCAGGCGAAAAGGATTGAGGCAGTCGTGCGCGTGGAGGAAATGTCGGAAGGATGCTGTCACTCAACGCCTCGTTTAGTAGCGACATCCCCGGAGATGGCGGACGCGACGGTGATGGTGAGCCATCTGTTGACACTGAACTGGATAGCGGCATGTCTCTGGCAGACGACGATAATGGCCACCACACAACAGGTGGTTTCTGATTAGTGCTAATAGACATAGATACCGGCCCGTGCTGGAGTGCCCATGAAGAAGGGGCAGACACTGAAGAAGCGCTGAACGACCTGCCGTGAACCCCACGTGCAACCCTGCCATTGATGGCCGTAGTGGACGTTAACCGGGTACCCCACATCCCAGACCAACTTGCAGGTATTTCTTCGTCGTTTCGACTGTTTTCTGGATGTTGGAAGCGGGAAGTTAGCGTCTTGAGAGTGGAGCTCACTATGGTTGACGGTGATGAAGATAAGTCATACATACCCTCCCGAGAGTAAGCAGTAGACTGCTTTCAATTGCAGGGGTCAACTTTTGGTAATTAGAAGTGGCTGTGCTACATTTCTTCATCCTGTAATAATGCATGGTCCGTCGTTACCGTCCGTCCTCAAGTCGAAGCCTGCGACCCATGACAGTAAGCAAGGACATTTTCATGATGTTATGCGAACTGAGTGACTTGTCTGACAGCAACGACAACTCATGATCAGCTAATAGCTGGTCTCGCTCGCGTCACCTCTCCTCAAGAGTAAGTCATACTACATCACAGGCGTGTTCTGATTCACTCATTGTTGTAGGACACCGATATACATTTGTGCATTCCAAGGTACGCGTTATGCCGTTTGTTATCTGTCTGTTCACTAGCGCCCGTAGATTGTAACAGACTGTTTCCTTCACGCGAACGTGTCATGCTGCACCGTAAACGTGACCACAACTCAGAAGAAGATAGAGACATCATTACTTGGAACGAATAGCAGCTCAGCATGTTCAGGACATCATATATTCGTGCTCAAGTTTCGAGGCCCTTCACCCTGTGATTCTTAAAGTTTATAACTCAGCAGTTTTTTTTTCACTACCACACTGACGACAGATACATTTATCTCGGTTTTTGACCAGAATCGGATATGAACCGTTTGCAATCAAATACCACGAAAACACTACAAATCTAGTGTCACAAAAACACACAACAGAAGCAATAAGAACAGAGAGTATCGCAAACTGAATTACGTGAAGTGCGCTCGGATTCGCTCTCGGTATGCTTGATCCAACTCTTCGAGGTCCATACAGATCCACCAACTCTTGAGTGCGGCGTACACAGTTGCACGGTCCTGCGGGTCCGGGACGAGAAGGTGCGAGACGAGGATCTTGGCTACACATCCGCAAACAGTCAGGGGATTGGTTATCAAATCGAAAAGATATGGGTTGTAGAGGACTGAAACAACAAGTAATCTTGAGCACGCACCGTCGCGAAGTGGACCCCAGATCGGCTCATGGAAACAAATCTGCCCATCAAGGATACGTTGTTTTGTTCTTTCATCTTGAGCCGTCGCATGTTGGGATTGGACGAAGCCCTGAGAGTCCACGATGTCTTCAAGAGAGATGCGAGATTGAGAAGAACTGACAAAATCGAATGGGTGACTTCCGCTTCAGTAATCCGAGCATTAACTCTGAACGTGAGTTCTGTGACAACAAACATAGCAGAACACGCACGTCAACATCGCAAAAAGCGTCACGCCTGCGCTCCAGCAGTCAGCTGGCATACCAACGTAGCCAAGATGTTTGTGCTCGAGCGCCAGGATACCTTCTGGCGGGAGATAAGATATGGTGCCACAAACATGCAAGGTTTCTTGGTAAGCTTTTGGACGTGCAAGACCGAAGTCGGCAATCTGGATGCGTGGATAAGGTCCAGGTGAAAAAAGTAGAATGTTTTCTGGCTGTTGATGACAGAATGAAGTCAGCAATTTCAAATACGCACAGGGTGTCACCTTAAGATCTGCCTTAAGCTCAGCTAGGCCGTCGCTGAAGAGGTATAGAACCTTACCTCTGTGGGAGATCATACGATCGTGCAGGTACTTCAAGCCCTTGAGGAGTTGATACATGATGTATTTTGCCTCCCCTTCGCATAATCGGTGTTTGGAGTGCGTGGTGATGTACGTGAAAAGGTCGCCACCGGTACAGAGTTCAAGAATAATGTATCTGATGCACACAATTTGTCGCTTCGGCGGTGAACCAAAAATCAAGCGACATACAGGAATTCCGGATCCAAATCGACAGCATATACCCTATTGATGTTGGGCTGCTTAAATCAAGATCATGACATTTCAGGATAAAGAGATTAAATTGTGCACGAACGTGGTGCAGGTTCATGAGCAGTGTTGCCTCCTTCATCTCTTTTCTGAGGTCACTACCTTCCTTGCGCCTGATAATCTTGCAGGCGGCTTGTTGGTGACCTGTGGTATCAAGCGCAAGCTGTACGGTGGCATAACTCCCACTTCCAAGGCAGTGAGATGTGATTAGGAATCGACCGAGGTCCTGCATGAAGTCTTTAGAATTAATATGTTGCTTTGGTTAATGGTAGTAACTTTGTATGACTGCGTTTGTGACTGAGAAGGCTGTGACGCGTGTTTTTCGTGTTTTTCATGAAGGTGCCTCCATTTGAGTATGCATTGAAACGCTGGTAAAAGGTCAGCAAGGCACAAGGTGAAAGCGGCACATAGTTGAGATATACTCTGCGAGGCTGGTATTCTGAATGTATCGCCATTCATGACAATGACAGATGTTTTGCGGATTTTGTGCCCATTCAAAATAAGTCCATTTGTCGACAAGTCCTTTGCAGCAGTTAAGTTGGGTCAGTAAGATAGCACGAGACAAGTGACTACCTGGCATGATACAATGATTCCTCCGGTGCTAGACTGGACCCTGTTCAACGCGTGTTAGGAGACGTATGAATTCGTAAAAATATGAACTGACGCGTGTATCTTGCAATGTAGGCTAGACACCACGATATCTGATATCACGTACGAGCTGCATATGAGCAAATGAGTAAACAAGATAACCTAGGGCAGAAGATGCGTTAAGCGACCAAAGAGAAGGGTTCCTTCCAATGGTTATCGGCTTCCCGATACTCAAAGTGATTGCTGCGCAGCAGATCGTTGTTAATCATCACCGCCGATTAAAGAAAGAAGATAGAATTCATACCTTCCGTGCGTCCATCCGCGGTCGTTGTAACGAATTTGGCGCATACATCCGATCTTGATAAGGTCTGCGAACGTGCTGACTTTGAAGAGACAAACGAAGGTACAGGCTGAGTCGGCCCTAGCGAGCGTGTCTGTGTTTCCATGCTTGGTAGATTTAGAGAAGAAACAAGAAGCAACGTAGATGCGGCTCGAGACATTTATCGAACTGCAGAGGGGTCATTGCTACTTTTGGAATTTGACCCGACCACTCTCAACAGTCCTCTTAATAGTGTTCCACCAGCGTGTTAAGCATCAATCATATCCCTTGCCACTCCTCTGCTTCACTCGCTTGTTCTTTTTGTTATGCTTCTTCCCAATATTACTAGCACTCGCCGACACAGCGGCCTGTTTCGCGCTCCCATGTCCCAATGGAGTACCATCATCAGCCACCATATTTTGATGAGGATATATTCTTCCCCTCGAGAACTCTTGCCCGTTACGAGAGGTACCTTGCAAAAATGCCCGTGCTGATAGATTCGAATTATGAGCAAAGAAGTCTTGGTCAAGAGCTTGAGATTTCAACCCCTGCCCTTGAGCAACAAGTATGGGAGACGGATTGGCAGGCACGAATGTATCCGCGCCTTTTCCAACTCTTGTGACAGGTGCACGTTTCTTTCCCGTCACTCGCAGCAGCGATAGTTCGTGGGTTGTTTGGTTGAAAGTCTCCTCAGGCGTGCCCGGCGGTGGGTGGCAGAAAAGTAGCTTCCCGTTGACATAGTCCTTTAGGACATACCGTGCTGCTCGTGCTTCGTCTGGATTACCTTGGCCAGACCGCATGAACCCTCGAGCAACTGTTTACTGATGAAAAAACAGTTGTTTTCACCAAATGAAGAGTACCCACTCGCATAAGCGATCAAGAAGTCCTCCGCAGTGATCTTTCCGTCACCCCCCTCTTCTACGCCCTTGAATTTAACAGTCAAACCGTAAGTCGCTTCAAGCACCTCCTTTGGTATTCGCTTGGCTACCAGAGCTACCGGACCAGAATATTCCCTCATTTGGTCGATTGGTAACACACCGTCACAAACCAGTGCGGCCTTGGTCGTCGCAAATTGAGGGAATACCAACCCAGGACAGTCGCAAAGTACTATCGCTGGGGAGAGATGGATAGTTTGAAAGTGCTTTGTCTTTCCAGGTGTAGAGGAGACGGAGACTTTTTTCTCTCCAAGAAGGGCGTTGATTGTGCTGGATTTACCAACATTGGGATAGCCGACAAGCCCAACCACTAGTTTTGTTGGAGGTTCCCCAGACGGGCCAGCAAATACTACCGATTAGCGAGCTGTAAGCCTTTACTTGAATTAGAAAAACAATCGAGCTTCACTTGATAGATCTGGAGCAGCTGTGACGAAGAGATCTTCGAGCTCCAACACTGAGAGAACTTTGGTACGAGGATCTTTTCCGTCGGGACTATCTTCCTCTGTGTGAACGTACTGATGTTCGTCGTCCGTGTCGCTGTCTGAGTGAGGCGACGATTCCGGCACCGACTCTTTTGCGAAGTCATCATCACTGACATCGCTGGGCGTATCCGGACCATCTGAATCGGACAGTGAAGCTTCGTCTTGATTATCCTCATGCAGCTGTTCCTCTTCGGCCTGAGCGATAGCATCCCGGCGGGCTTGCTGTAATGCAGCAGCATTCGCAGCGGAGAAAAATGCGTATTGTATCCCTTGACCATCAAAATAATCTGCCCATATGCGCCTTTGGGTGAAGGTTCGAATGAAGATAGACATTCCATTAGAAGTGAAACCACGACCACGCTCACCTTTGTGTCGCAGTGAGTAGATCGGCCTTGTTGATCAACAGGAGAGTTCTGCGCTTATCTCTTCCTGTACCCGCCTCGCCTTCTGCACCTTCCACGTCTTTGACATACGACTCGAGATCCTCGCACCTAAATCTTAGCGGATTGCGAGCATCTACGATTTGCACGACTAGA